ATTTTATCCAAGTTGTTTTTCACTAGCAGATACCTTATATTCAAGAATTTGATTTTATTCAAGTTGTTTTTCACTAGCAGATGGCAGGTCTGGATAGCTACTTGACGTGCGTTGCAGTCACCACAAAACCGTACACTCAGAGGAATGAGTGTGACTTTGTTAAAATATCGATGCACTCTTTGCCTTGAGTGGGTCATTTTGACCCAGTTTGATAGGGCCAAAGGGCGTATCAGGGCAACGTCCGTTCTCTGCTCGTGCTGTGGTTAAGAAATTGTAGCAATTTTTGAAAAATGAGACCACTTTTTTGTAACCCCAATGTGACAAATTTTTGAGTGCAGTGCGCCTACCCACGGTAAACTTACCATAGTATAATAAATACATAAATAAATACGGATAGTCGATTAAAAAATACTATCAACACAATCTATTAACAGAGCCCGAAGCCCATACAATCGAACACAACCCTCTTCAGTACGCTGAAATATGATATAAGAATTACGTACAACAATTAATGAATTACTCAATATATGGCTGGCTAAGTATGCCAAATATACTGCAATCCAAACGGTATAGGTCGTGTTACGCTACTCGATATATGTATAAAAAAATATCATTAATATTAAAAAACTGGCAATCTCTTTTTATTTCACTTGTGAGTTAGCGTCCAATGTCGTGCAGAGCATCCAACAGTTTCCAGTAAACATAAGTGCACAACTGAGACCGATAAGATAACTTGTTTTTAAAGAGCATCACAATACGGGAAAGTGCTGGAGTAAAGTGCAGCGCAGCTATTAAGTTAATTCAAAAAGTCACCGGCTTGAAAGGTCAACAAAATTTCGCAAGTGCTGGAGAAAGCACGAGACATAAAATGCTGAACACAACCGAATTTTTTGCGAATGTGCGAATGCGAATTTGTTAATATTATAATTCTTTACATTTTTCATTTTTCATCATTCATAATCTTTTGTAAAATAATATGATATTTATTGCTAAAGATGATTCAAAAGTGATCAACTTGGTGTGACTTGCAATCCAGTATCATTAGGTTCGAGTACAAACCTGTAACATGTACCACCACAACAAATAAATTTGCAGCAAAAAAAGGTACATTTATAACGAAATCTTTATTAGACGAAACTACGTTTTCCTCTTTAGATGAATTATAACATAATGAAAAACAAAATCGATTTTCCGCTTAACATATAATATATATAAACACGAATTCTGTTATCCCGAAAAAAAAAATAAGTAGACCTGTAAAAATTCAAGCCACGTTTTGCACACTTGTCTCGCTGGCAGCCTTGAAGTCGCAGCGAGGGCAGAGGTGACGTTTTTTAGATCAGTTGGGCAGACGTTTTTTATTGCAAGTTTGCCAGGTTTTAAATGTGAGTTCAAGCATGGAGGGTCAGAAGCTGACTATCACATTAGAAAGTGAGGGCGATGCTGCCAGTGAGTTGAAGTGGGCAGCTATATTGTCATGACTGTGCAGCTTATTAGGTGAACCAGTTGACTGGATGCAAATTGTTGGCTGGACTCTTCCAGTTGCATCCAGTTGACTCTGGATGCAACTGTTGCAAAAGTTGCAAAGTTGACTGGACTCTTCAAAGTTAACTGGGTGCAAATTATTGAAGAAAAGATTGTTTGAAATTCAGATGAGATGACAGTAGGGGCGATGAATAATAATAAATACAATTGATCGGGCGGATAAATCTTTTAATAATTTTACAGCTGAACCGTTGTAATGTTGTTAAAATGACGCGGCGTACAGTTGTACGCATGACGCGGCGTACAGTTGTACGTATGACGCGCCGTACAGTTGTACGCATGACGCGGCGTATAGTTGTACGCATAACGCGGCGTACAGTTGTACGCATGACGCGCCGTACAGTTGTACGCATGACGCGTCGTACAGTTGTACGTATGACGCCGCGTACAGTTGTACGCATGACGCACCGTACAGTTGTACGCATGACGCGGCGTACAGTTGTACGCATGACACGGCGTACAGTTGTACGCATGACGCCGCGTACAGTTGTACGCATGACGCGCCGTACAGTTGTACGCATGCCGTAATGTGCCTGTTTCACAAAGGTACAGAGACGGAAGTGACACAAAAGGAGCTTTGTTGTGGAAGGATTGAAGTTGATATCCGTGTTAGCAGAGTAAGTTTGCTGCGGTGATCGACAAATGTGAAATTATTTTAGCTATCTTAAAAGTTGCGTGAAATTTTTTTAAAAAGAACCTGCGCAGGCAATGAAATCAGTTGGAAGTACATTTTTTTCAATTTTTTATAAAGCCGGGAATTCTCTGAAGACCCATCAAGGAAGCTCAACGGCACTTCAGTCTTACAAGAACATTGAACGGTTCTTGTAGTGTTGCAGAATATTGAAGTGAAGTCAAGTTCCATTGAAGTTTAATCATTCTAGAGTTTCCAGGGGTATTTTCTAGCACTTATTTTCAGCACGTTAATTACTACACGAGCTAAATGTATTTTTTCATCATACCTTTCTTAAAATGGCATTAATGGCTTATGAATCCCGAACATATTCAAAATTCCACACGGAATTGGCTATTATTTCCTGATTTATTTAATTTACATGAAAATTTGCAACAGTTTTAAAAGTTTTACCACAATTCAATTGAAATAAAGGTCGTTGACGCCAAAACAATGCCTGCTGCTCCACGAAATGCGGAACATATCAACAGTCAGTCAACAATGGGAGAAGCTAAAACGTGACTTCATCTGCAAACTTTAGAGAACTACACGTTCCAAAACACTGTCAGAGGGATCAAAGACCCTATACGTTTTCTAGAATGACATAAAATAACACAAATTAATCGCCATTCTAAGCTACCCCCTCCTGTATAAGGCGTGACACCTGTACGTTCAAATGACAATGCTTAACGACCGCTTCCAAGAATTGTTCCAGCTCTCAAAAGCAGCAAGTAGAAGCTGATATTAGCGTCACGCAGGCTATGTTGCAGTCTCAACAATCAGACTGACCTCACGTTAGACTGTGGCTGCTTCCAACCGTTGACAAGAAATAAACCGGAGACTGTAGCTGCTTCCAGCCGTTGACAAGAAATAAACCGGAGACTGTGGCTGCTTCCAGCCGTTGACAAGAAACTAAACCGGAGGCAGTGGCTGTTTTCAGCCGTTGTCAAGATAATAAACCGGAGACTGTGGCTGCTTCCAGCCGTTGACAAGAAATAAACTGGAGACTGTGGCTGCTTCCAGCCGTTGTCATGAAACTAAACCGGAGGCAGTGGCTGTTTTCAGCCGTTGTCAAGAGACTAGACCGGAGACTGTGGCGGTTTTCAGCCGTTGTCAATAGACTTGACCAGAGACTGGCAGTTTTCAGCCCTTGCCAGTAGACTAGACCACAGACTGTTGCAGTTTTTAGCCGTTGTCAATAGACTAGACCGGAGACTGTGGCGGTTTTCAGCCGTTGTCAATAGACTTGACCGGAGACTGGCAGTTTTCAGCCCTTGCCAGTAGACTAGACCACAGACTGTTGCAGTTTTTAGCCGTTGTCAATAGACTAGACCGGAGACTGTGGCGGTTTTCAGCCGTTGTCAATAGACTTGACCGGAGACTGTGGCAGTTTTTAGCCGTTGTCAATAGACTAGACCGGAGACTGTGGCGGTTTTCAGCCGTTGCCAATAGACTAGACCGGAGACTGTGGCGGTTTGTAGCCGTTGCCAATAGACTAGAACAGAGACTGTGGCAGTTTTCAGCCGTTGTCAATAGACTAGACCGGAGACTGTGGCGGTTTTTAGCCGTTGTCAATAGACTATACCAGAGACTGGCGGTTTTCAGCCGTTGCCAATAGACTAGACCGGAGACAGGCGGTTTTCAGCCGTTGTCAATAGACTGGACCGGAGACTGTGTGGCGGTTTTCAGCCGTTGCCAATAGATTAGACCGGAGACAGTGGCGGTTTTCAGCCGTTGCCAATAGACTGGACCGAAGACTGTGGCGGTTTTCAGCCGTTGCCAATAGACTAGACCGGAGACAGCGGCGGTTTTCAGCCTTTGTCAATAGACTAGACCGAAGACTGAGGCGGTTTTCAGCCGTTGCCAATTGACTAGACCGGAGACTGTGGCGGTCTTCAGCCGTTGTCAATAGACTAAACCGAAGACTGTCGTGGTTTTCAGCCGTTGCCAATTGACTAGACCGGAGACTGTGGCGGTTTTCAGCCGTTGCCAATTGACTAAACCGGAGACTGTGGGGGTTTTCAGCAGTTGTCAATAGAATAGACCGAAGACTAGCGGTTTCCAGCCGTTGCCAATAAACTAGACCGGAGACTGTGGTGGTTTTCAGCCTTTGTCAATAGACAAGACCGAAGACTGGCGGTTTTCAGCCGTTGTCAATAGACTAGACCGGAGACTGTGGTGGTTTTAAGGCATTGTCAATAGACTAGACCGGAGGCGGTGGCAGTTTTCAGCCGTTGTCAAAAAGACTGGACCGGAGCCTGTGGCGGTTTTCAGCAGTTGCCAATAGACTAGACCGGAGACTGTGGCGGTTTTCAGCCTTCGTCAATAGACTAGACCGAAGACTGTGGAGGTTTTCAGCCGTTGCCAATAGACTAGACCGGAGACTGTGGCGGTTTTTAGCCGTTGTCAATAGACTCAAAGGGATGCTACTCGTGCATGTAAAGCAGGTGACGCGGTGGACAAACAAAAGCACTGGTTAGTTGCTATGTAATGTCTGCCAGATGAATATAAATTATATTTGTAATGTATATTACGCTAACGATCTGTTTTTACCAATATTTTTAATGGGGCGTGTATCTCACTTGCAATTAAAGAATTATTAATGTGGAATTTTACAATTTCCGTTCAAAACATAGAGTAGATATTCTGTTGTGAAATGATGCATCTACAGATTTTCAAGTATTTCACACAAGAATAATTCGTAAATTATTCAAGTACGAAACCAAAATATGAAATAAAAAGGGGCAACGATCCCCATACCTACTTTCATAAAACACACGATCAGCCTCCCCTTCCTCCCCACCACACCATCATCCTCCCCTTCCTCCCCACCACACCATCATCCTCCCTTTCCTCCCCACCACACCATCATCCTCCCCTTCCTCCCCACCACACCATCATCCTCCCTTTCCTCCCCACCACACCATCATCCTCCCCTTCCTCCCCACCACACCATCATCCTCCCTTTCCTCCCCACCACACCATCATCCTCCCCTTCCTCCCCACCACACCATCATCCTCCCTTTCCTCCCCACCACACCATCATCCTCCCCTTCCTCCCCACCACACCATCATCCTCCCTTTCCTCCCCACCACACCATCATCCTCCCCTTCCTCCCCACCACACCATCATCCTCCCTTTCCTCCCCACCACACCATCATCCTCCCCTTCCTCCCCACCACACCATCATCCTCCCTTTCCTCCCCACCACACCATCATCCTCCCCTTCCTCCCCACCACACCATCATCCTCCCTTTCCTCCCCACCACACCATCATCCTCCCCTTCCTCCCCACCACACCATCATCCTCCCTTTCCTCCCCACCACACCATCATCCTCCCCTTCCTCCCCACCACACCATCATCCNCAACTGTGGGCACGTGTGGATACGTGATAAGTCAACTGTGGGCACGTGTGGATACGTGATAAGTCAACTGTGGGCACGTGTGGATACGTAATAAGTCAACTGTGGGCACATGTGGATACGTGATAAGTCAACTGTGGGAACGTGTGGCTACGTGTTTAGTTAAGTGAGCTTAGCCACACAATAGTAAGTCCGTTAAATATTATGGTCGGTAAAAGTCTCAGGATCTTTCATTCGTCACGAGAAAAATTCGCACAATAACAAGGATACTACTAAGCATCTCTTGTGCGCAAAACGAAGCGTTAAGTAGAAAAATTAACTCTATTAATTAGTTTAAAATTGATTGGCAAATTTAAAGATGTATATATAAATTACAAATTATGGCTCATTATTCTGAAATTTTTTACTTATAAATAATAATAATAGTTAGATTATTGCATTTTTGAGGAAAATTGTTTCTCAATATAATTTATTATAAAAGATTTTTCAAAGAAGCGTGAGAATTTATTAAATTAGATAGTTACTAATGGTTTCACTGCATGACTCAGGCAGCTACTCGTGTAAATCAAGTAATTTTCAAGTGCACAGATGTCGGGATAAGCGTTAGAGAAATAACCCTTCATTTAATATGGACTTCCTAATCACCCAAACGAAGCAATTCACCTGAAGTAAAAAGTGTAACCACAATCACAATAAATTCTCAGACACAACTCCTCACTAGCAACCGTAGAAAAAATCAGAACCCATTCCCACGATAGAGGAAACGATTCCAGTCTCTACCGCTGGCAAGAAAAAAAACGATCGCACCACAATTGCGCGACGAAATCTGCCTGTAAATGGGCCTCATTGCATCGTAATTGGCCCATTAATGAGAGATGGTATCGTTGTCGGCTGCATCAGGGCAGAGATTGCGTCGGAATTCTTTTTCTAAATCTTTACAAGGAGGCAGATTAGTCGGAGGTGAATAGTCATTAGTAATCACTAAATGGTTGTTGCGTGTGGGGTTGCTAAAAATTCAAGAAAGCGAGACAATCATAATCAGTAATACGATAAAAAGTAATCTTTAGGGATAATCAATAAGGTTGATGACCATTATATAACTTCAAAAAGGAAGCTAAAAGAAGTTTTAACATTAATTCAAGCCGTAATGTGTGATTTCATGCAGATCACATTCCTGGTGAAGTAATAAAAATAGATTTGGGTTTCGCCTCTCAAAGACCGAGATGAGCATAGCAATCAGTTGTTCAGGAAATCTTTATGTATAACCTAATGTTGAAACAATCAGCTTAACTCAGAAGAATTTAAGTAATTAGCCAGAATATAATACATAATAAACCTATTCAATATTGAAACCGATTCGAACAACATTTGATCGAACAGAGTAAAACACAAATATTTCCAAACTCAATCTTTTATGAACAATAAAACATTTGTAATTAATGTAGAAAAACATTTGGTAACATTTGTAGTAAATACATAACCACTTGCTCAGTTAGTGTATGGAGTCGCGTTCAATATGAACTAAAAGTCAGGAAATAACCATAAAAGTCGGAGGTTTGGCCCGGGTCTCAGAACTTGTCCTGATGTACTAACCTGAGATCGTGGTCATCCATTACTTTAAGGGCTTCAAGGAATAGAGACTTTTACGAGTGACCTCCCTAAAGTTGGTCTTTGCTCAACAACTCGGTTATTATAGGAACATGTCCTCTGAAAAGATCCTGCACCGTGTCTAATTTGAAAAACACATATTCGTCCAATTATGAAAGAGTTGAAACGCAGTTAAAATAGGTTTAATTTAGCCTATACTTATACAACTTGTAGGGGGACGATATATAAGTACAAATTTGTTTTCAGTAAACTCCCGTTTCAACATATTCATTTTTAAAGTAAACTCCCATTTCAACCTTTACATTTTCAAGTAAAGTCCCGTTTCAACATTTACATTTTTGACGCAAACTCCCGATTCAACGATTAAAATTTTTAAAGTAAACTCCCGTTTCAACATTTACAATTTTTTACGTAAAATCCCGTTTCAACATTTACAAATTTTTAAATAAACTCCCGTTTCAACGATTACAATTTTTGCAAGTAAACTCCCGCTATAACATTAGTTCTTTCATAAAGAATCTCTTGTTAGTTAGTGCAAGTAAGGTTTAAATACCAAGGCATCTAAGACCATCAAGTCAAAAAATAAATTAGAGAAATTCCCAGCTTCTTTTACATTTAAATATAACATGGCGTCAAAATTAAATAACTATTATGCATCGGATGTGCACCGTTAAACCTTAACACACGCATCTGATTTACAGATCAAAGATCAGCTGCCCTTCCTAAATAAGATCGCAGCTTTCACCACGATCAAGTCCCATCAAGGCAAAGATCAGCCATTTTTGGCATCGATCTCAACGGATCCGAGATAGGGTTCAGCAAGAGATCGATGACGATCCAAAATCTATGAATCTTCAGAGACCAGATCACAAATTATGAAACTTGAAAAATGTCTTTTAAAATAGAATGTGTAGTCATGAACGAGTGGGGAACGATAAGAATATTAATAATTAAATAATACTATTAATAATTTTTCAATAATTATAATAATAAATTTACTATATATATATTAAACGGTTTATATATATTTAGGTAAAATATTAAGTAAATGTCAGCAAAAAATAATCAGGAAAAAGATTGAAATTTTTTTTAAAAGAAATATTCTGTAATTTCATAGTATTTTGGAATTATTAAAAAATTTATAAACTACATAGAATTTTGCTAAATTTCTTCGTTGGACGTCGAGAGTCGCCTTAATTTATTCCCTTAATTTATAAACATTCTATTTTGTTTAAAGTATACATCTCATTATAAAATATGAAAGCAGATTCTAAGAAGTCAAATAAATTAACTGGGACACAACAATATAAAGAAACACACTAAACATGAAAGTACAACGAGCTTATTAACGACAGAGAGCTTTATGATTTTTCTTACCCACGTCCTCTAATTGGATCAGATAGAAATAACAAATGATTTCAGCCACAAGAGAAGCAAGACGAATGCCGAGCGAAAGTGTCGAGTTGTTTTCTCTATCTTTTGTGCAGGAGAAGCCAGCAAAAAAATGATGGATTGAGTCCCTGAGGTGCGAACACTACAAGCAAGAGATGGTCGAGATATGCGAACTGGCAATGTTGCACGCCACTGCCTGATGAACTGCATGCCCACCGGGCATCTGACGTTGAAATAACGTCGAAAAAAACGTTGTATTAACGTTTTTTCGACGTAATTTGCCTAGAGGGTGCGGAGGACTTGCGGTGTAGGAAGCCTGCAGGGTTTTCAGGGTGTGAAGGTGTGAACTTGTTGTTTACATCGAATAATTATAGTGCAAAGTTGATAGTTCACAAGTGAAGAGGTCATTGCTTTCAAAAATCTTGATCTGAGGTTGCACAAGGTTGGTCTGCTCTATATATGCACAAGCTATAACATCATAATTTTATTATTTGCATCCACTAAATAGAAATAAGATGAAATAATGATTGTTATTGTTTCGCTCATATAAATTGCCTAAAGTTCATATCGAGCCCACACTTGAGTGTAACTTGTGGGTTACAGGGTGACGCTACGAAGACTATATGTAGGTACTCGTAACAACGCAGCTCATTATAAGAAGGCGAGCTCGACGCTAGCGAAGATCTTGTGAAACAAAATTGAAACTTTCCTGACAATTACCGAAATATCACAATATCTGCCTTTAACTATTATCCGCCAAGTTAATGGGTAAGAATGACTTAATTTTGAGGAAACAAAGAATAATTTATTTATATCCGTCCTTCTTGTTAAGTATTAATTGTTACCAAAATTTTTTATTCAATCAATAATTTTTAAATATCCAGAGTTACCATTTTCTAAATTTTTAACGTCTGAAAAATTGTTAAAATCAGTTTGAACCATTGAACAACTTTGAGCAATTGGTTAAATTTCGTTTGAAGTTTTTCTTTAACGTGGGGAGTGCATAGAATGACTTCAACAACGCGTTGGTCTAGAATAAAATTCTGTCACAAGAAATGAGATGAGATGCATCTTCATTGTTATTTTAGACAGAATAAAATATTGCACTCCAGAAACAGCGTCAGTGACGTCCACAAGCAAATTTTAAAAGCTTCTTAACAAAAAAAAGGCAATATTGAAAACCACGTTTTTTTGCGAGTGGGACTGCGGAGCCCATCTCACAAAAAACGTGGTTTTCGCACTAGACACTAGTTTTTAGTAACCTCTGCTAGGCGAAAATACCATTAGACTGGGGGCGCAGTCGTAGGCCACAAATTAACCTCTTGAATAAGCATTAAATATTAAGGCAACGCCTAGCCTCAGCATGCTATAAGTTTACTCAGCCACAGACCTAGAAGCAGCAGAATACGCTGCAACACTATTATCCAGAACAGTGACACGCTGCTTTAATATAAATAACGCTGTATGTCTTCAGCTAATCCTTAAACATGCTCGCTCATAAGCAGGCAGTTCCCCATCCGGATGTACCTTCTCCGGCCTAACCTCTTCCGGCCTAACCTATTCACGCTGTCCCGGCTCACAACTTTCTTGCAGCCAATGACTGGCTCTCCCAGTACACTTGAACCGCCTTTCTAACTTCTTGCATCCAATGTGGTTAGGTTAGGTCCGCTCTGATTTTAAAATGGAGAAATGTTGCAACTTGTGTAGGTTAGGCAAGAAGAGGTTAGGCCGAAAGTTGTAAGGCCAAATGCAGTATGGTTATAATTACCTTTAGCATGCTCAAGTGGTGGAGATTTAATGCATGAAATGTGTGTAGGATCAACCTCTACAAGACGCACCCACACATGTGGTTAAGAACAAACTACACGAGCTGCATAAAAATCGCTGTTCATTCAATATATTAGACGTTATAGGGAAAATACGGTAAACGTAACTGAACAGATATGGTGCAGTGCAGATACAGTAGATACGGAACTAAACAGATACTGGCAGATACGGTAGACGTAACTGAACGGATACGGTAGATACGAGACACGACGATACGGGTCTGGGCAGAAACGGTATATGCAGTAATGGTAGATACGGTAGACGTTC